AGATATCCAAATTTTGTGAAAAAGTACCTTAATTCTATGCAAAGAAGTAAATTGGAAAGTTAAAATCTTTTGAGCTTTGATAATCTAAGAAGACTATATTTTATTATAAACTACCTGATATGTTTGAATTTATTTCTGCCGAGGAACTTGAGCAATATTCACATTATGTCGTATTAAGGGATGACACAATAATTCAATTAAAGGATTTTTGGAGATCGTACTTTCGATTTGAGTCTTTCTAATCGGATTATATCATATAAATTATAGTAATTTATGTTCTATAATGGCAGACTCAAAGCTAAACTTTAAAGTATCTTTTTAGGCGAAAAAAACCCTCTATTCTCCAAAGGCCTTAGTTGGAAAGGGAGCTTACTTTCCATGCTCTGTCTCTCACCACGAGGACTTAAGCTTGTTGCGTCATGGATCTGCAATTAATTGATACACTCAAGCTCATTATTGGGCTTGATATCAGACGCGCGAAATTTCTGCAAATAAATTATAATTAAGTGCACAAATTGTTGAATTAGGCTTCTACCTAATTTTAGTTTAGATATAATATGATTAAACTGAAAATGGCAAGTAACAGCAATAATCACTATGTCACTGCTTGAACTCTTGACCGCAATAATTAATTTAATATACATTTAAAGATAACCATATGAAAATAACTAGAGGAATCTAAATTCTGGTTATATTTATTGAAGTATTAAGAAAAAAATTATTAAATACCTCTTGATCAAGTAACTGGAATCCGTAAAGTTGCACGCCGGAGTATAAAAAGCCATCCAGCTGCAGATGGTCTACTTCAAAACCTGCCAATATGTAGCGATACTCGCGGCGATTCATACCAAGCATGACCAGCTCTTTTAACATCTCTTGAGTGTTAATTCGTGCTCGCTGTCGAAATAGTCCTGTCCTGCCATCGAGGTTTGCTGTATGACTAGATGCAAAAGTACTACCAAATGCACTACCTGTTTGCTTAAATGTACTTTTGCCCAGTCCAAACCCTCCGTATGCCAATGATCCAGCGTCCAATATTCCATTAAGACTCGGCTGCTTGAGTCCGATCAGACGGTCCCAAAAAGGGTCAACATCCAGCACAATATGCTTGACTGGCCTTCGCTTAAGATGGTCGTCCAGTCGTTGAAGCTCTTTCGAAGCAGCTTCCAGGGATGGTATGTAACGCAAATCAATACCTAATGGGTTGAATGAATCTCGACGATAGTGGAGTGCTGCTACAAGGCGCTCAAGACGATAGAGGCCTTCAGGGCTTGTACAAACATATGAAAATTTAGTCCAATTCTTAGCTATCAGAAGATCTGTAAGAGGCTGAATTAAGGAAGGTCGCATTTGTACTAAGTATGGATTGTTAGGTTCTAAACCTTCGATTTCTGAATTTCTTTCGGTTCCTTTTAATGACTTTATATTACTTGATCCACTATTTATCTCCCCATCTTCTACTCCAATTTTATCAAAAAGATTTGTTTTCTTCTTATTGAGTCCTTTACGAGCTAAGTTGTATTGTAGACCGCTTAGAGGCATCGGGACTGGATTTGTTTCTGGAAGGAAAATTGCAATCTCAATAGCCTTGGCGACTGCGGCTACCAACTGGAACAAATCGGAACAGCCAGTCATCTGACCAAGCACAATGGCTACAACGCCAAGTCGAGCATGATGACAGATGGTGTTGAGCACGGCCTGTGGAGTTGCGTGTTGTAAGGCAGCTGTAATAGCCTCAAACCGGAATGGTCGACCGGGCCAACGGTTGTGCTGAAAGACGGCAAATCTAAAAGCGTATTCAGTAGGCGAGTTCGCCTCAAAGATGCCACTAATCGGTACGTGTATCTCATCCTCCCCCAAAACTGGTCGTATGAATTCGGTTAAGGATAGAGTTATTATTATTAACAAGGTTAAATAAACTATGAGTTGAATGGGCCATTTTCGAAAGTAGGTAGGACGAAGCCTCGATTCACTGCATGACGGGCCTGCTATTTTATGAAAATATTCACGAGTCATCATGGCGATATGAAATTATTTGGATAAGTGGAAAGAAAGTGCGAATAAATGAGGCTGAATGTAATTCGCCGTTTGAACAAATGTATAAACACTGCAGCTAGAACAGAGTGTTGAGAATATTATAATACCTTTTCAGATATCCTCCCCTGAGCATCAATTGTACTTATTTCTGACTAGCCTAGGCTTTTATCTACTCGGGAATGTAAGTAGAGTGGAAAATGAAATGACTCAAATTTCAGGTTAGCTCAAATGATAATCCAGCTATACCATTTGGAGATTGTGGAACAGCATAATAACTGAGGTAATATAAATGGATGAGGACTTACAAAAACATGGAGTTATAAACAAATGTAATCCTTTAGGATGCATGAGAATATTGCACAAGTAAACACAAAGATATAAAATGAAATAAAATGATATGAATGTGCATAAAATAAGTGACAGATAGACAGATGCTAGTGACATCGTGCCAGATTGTCTGCAGAGCAAATTGATTGGCTAAAGGAGAGAGATGCATTTGGCGAATTCCCTTGAACTCAAATGAAGATCTGTTGCACTTTTATTTTCTTACATTAGTATATCTGTTTTTTTTGCCATGTCACTTTGCAGTAAAAGTTTCCTAGTTCTTGATCACAGAATAAATAAATAAAATTATATGGCCAAATACTCGGTTGCTCATAAGCACATTTAGAAAAGGCATTATTCTATTTACATTGTGTTCACAATTCTGTTTTTATTTCCGATATATCTGCCAAGCTACTAATATTTATATATTTATAGTATTTATCTCTTGGATGGATGCAGATTTTTATCATATGTTTTTATTTAATTTATGGGTTTACTTATCTTTCTTTCTCTGTATATATCTGCTTAATTTCGTAAACCACAATGTGCCTAATATGTATATAATAATATAATGCCTGCCAAAATACTGGGCTATCCTAGAAAAAAATCTATCCTGAAGAATGAGCTTCCTATACATATTTTTTAAGTCTAGTTCTGCCTTTTGTTTTTATATACTTATATTTATTAGCATGCTTTTCCATCAGACTATTTTAAAGTCTAGCCTATTTATTCGTCATGTTTTTATATTTCATATACTTATACGTGAGCATACAAGGGAAATTTTAATAGGTTTTCTTCAGTTAGTTTGCTAATATTTAGCTAATTATCTTTTCAAACAGAGTTTGCACAGATTTATCATGAAAGGAATGTCTTTACGATAATACCTTCAGCAACTTAAGGATCTTGGTTCACTTACGCCTGAATCTATGTGGCAATATTTAAAAACATATTATTTCATTCAAGTTACTTTCTTAGTCCTATGCATAACAATACATATCATATAATCCTATAATTATATACCATATTGAAAGTCTTGCTGTTTTGCTATCTATATCTTGATCCAGAGCTTCTCACACCTCATAAGAATTTCA